AGCTTACAGTTGAATTTCAGTTCATTTAACACCTCACTTGTATCAATTGGGGAGTATTCTTTTTAAACTTCTAATCATTACTGACATTCAGCCAATATGGTCTACTTCCGTTTACACCTTGAAAAAAGACAAATTTCTGGCTTAAAGGAAGACTTTGTTTTTACAGTGTATTAGTTTAATTAAGTGATAATTTTGACTCAAAAAAAATTGTGGTGGCTGCCATAAAAAGTTGCATGTCACCATGAGTGGACCACTGTTTATAACCATAAGTGGACTGCCTGTTTTTTATATTTTTAAATTCAGTTTACCATTTTTATGGAAATAAATTGACAATGAATTGGTTTGAAACTATGTTTTATGTTCTTTATTAATTTTTTTGTGATATTGATGCGATATGTGCCAAAATTACTAAAAATAGTTTCACTTGTAAAAATTGCGACACATAAATGGTCTGAAGCTGCATAAGCATAAATTTTGTTTCAATAAATGAGAAATATTAAAAACATTACATAAAATAATAACATTACGAGAAAAGTAATTGGGTATACTGCGCTAGCCTAATTTTGGACCCCAGATTCAAAGTCAAGTCATTTTATGAAACCGAGTGGGGAAAAGAAATGGCAGCTACGTCGATTAAAAAGTTCGAGGATATTTATCAAAAATTTTATTACAAATCGGAGGTATTTATGAGATATAAATAATTAATTTCCAACTAATATTTTTATTTGTTTCAGACTTCGCACTCGATAATAAAAGAGTAGAAAAAATAGCTTTTAAAATAAAAAAAATTAACTTGACGAACAAAAAAAACTCGTTTTAGACACTTTACAAAACTGACAAAAATTCTATTCCATATTTTTTATTTTTCTGACTTTTTCGTAACTTCCATTTAAAATATTTACTTCTTTCTTATCCTGCTAATAAATTGAATTCCTGCAACGAATTTTCTTATTCTTTAAAGAATTTAAATATTTACAAAAATACTTTAATTCTTGCAAAGAATTTTATAAAAAGTTTTAAACAATTGATTTCTTTCGAATAAATTTATGCAGATTCTAATTTAAATAATTAAATTCCTAAGAAATTTTTATTATTTATGAAAAGAATTGAATTCTTACAAACATTTTCACAAAAAAGTTTTAAATAATTGAATTAATTTTGGAATTTTTATAAAAATAATAGATATTAAAAATCATTCAATTGCGAAAAGTTTTTAAAAATAACATTTTACAAAGAATTCAATTAGAATTTTTGTAAATAATTAAATTCTTCCAGAGAATTTTCAACAAACTTTTTTTTAAAATAATTTATTTTTTGAGGAATTGAAATTATATTTTTATGATTTTTTCGAAGTTTTTTTAAAAATGCCATTCTAAATTAATTGAATTTCTGTGGAAATTTTATTATTTATAAAAATAATTGAATTTTTGATGAATTTTATCAATTTTGTAAAAATAATTGAATTATTTTGCGAAATTTTATGAAAATACTAAATATTGAAAATAATTGAATTTTGAAAGTAATTAAATCGTTTCAAAGAATTTAATTATAATTTTTAAGAATGGCTTTTTAATTTCTAAAATTAGCTAATTTAAAGTAGTGGAAATTCTAAAAAAATAGTATTTTTCAATGACTGAAATCTAAATAGTACTCAAATAGTATCATAACATAAAAAAGTAGTAAATAGTTGGCTTTAGTAAATGAGTTCGAAGTCTGATGTTAATATTTTAATATTGAATGAGAGCAACATTTATAAATAAATAAATAAATAAATAAAAAGCAACATCTTGACTTTTAAAGTTATTTTTTGTTTTAATGTAATCGTTACTTTTAAAAATAATTAAAAATAAAACTTTGTTTATAAAAAATAATTTTTCAAATAGACCACAGGACAAAGCACTTCAAGCCACACAGAAGACGAAGAGATGGTGGAAAGTAGAGGAAAACTTAATTTTACAATGGTGGCATAGTCATTCAAAACAATTTCCAAATTTAGCAAGAATGGCTCGATATCTATTATGTATCCAAGCAACATCTGTATCAGCAGAAAGATTTTTTTCTCGCAGTTCTCTCACGATAAGGAAGCACAGAAATAAATTAAATAACGATGCTATTATAAATTTGATGTGTTTGAACTCCTGGGTAACCTGTTCTCTTGCACCGAAAATTCAGAAGCTTTTGCAAGAAAATTGTTAAAATGTTTATAAAAATTAATTAAATTGTTAAAATGTTGTTAACTATGCTGTAAAAAGACAGTATAATATTTTGATCAAAAAGACCTTAATTTAAGGCACTTCTTATGTCTAAAACAATAAAAATGTCTTCTAAATTACGACATTTCTTTTTACAGTGTATATAATAGTTAATTAATTAAATTTTCATTTATTCAAAGTAAATAAAATATATGTGTAGTTAAGTACTACAGTGTTAATATATTTTTATGTAGAATATTAATTGCTTTATAAATTTTAATAAATATATATTTGAAAGATATAATTATAAAATCTTAAACTTTTTTAAAAATTTGAAAGCACCACTGAAAATTATATGAAAATAGGATTTTTATAGATATGTATTTACAGTTTTCTTATTTGGGTATTTTTTTGCGTGTATTTACAATGCAATAGCTCTATTTTAACTGAGACATTTACTTATTTTATTACGGTATAATTGATTTAAATTCATTAATTAACTTGAAAAGCACTCAGGGTGTCTCACAAGTATTGAGAAGAAAAATTCCCTGAGTTTTTCCATGTCTTTTCCATACTTTTTACTAATTTTACTCTTGCTTTGTTGGAACAAATTATCCCTGGTTCGAATACAGTTTTTTCAAAACGTATTTTCTAAAAAATTATTTTTTTATAAAGATGAATTTCTAAAAAACTTTTTTCTACTGAAGGTCGTTTTCTAATTTTATTTCTTCTCATAAAAATCATTTTCTAAAAATTTCTTTTTCTAATAAACGTAATTTTCAAAATTTTTTTTCCAACAATATTCAATTTTTGTAATGACGATCAATACATAGGTTTATGATTAAAAAATAAAATTTGTTAATTTAAAAAAAAATACTTGAGATTTCGTTCTTAAATTATAATAAAAAAGATATGCAAAATATTGTAAACAAATTTTAAAATACTCTATTTAAAAATCGTAATTAACATATAGAAATTATAGGGATTTTTTTGCTAAAGATATTTAAAATCTTCTAAAAAAGTGTTTTGTAAATAAATTAATTTTGGAAATTTTGGTATATAATTAAAAATGATGCAAATTATTATTTTTTTTCAAAGATCAGAATTTTGATAACAAATTGTGATAAATAGTAATTTTATACAATTTTTCAAAAAGAAACTTATAATTTTGTAAGCAGAACTGTGATTGAGAAACAAGAAATATGCAAAATAGTTTCTATTTCTTTATCTTATTGCTTCCTCATAAAGGAAGCTTTGTATTAGCAAAATTTTGGATTGTCATTTTTTGACATATTTATAAATTTTTTTTTATTATGCCTAATACTTTAGTACTTTATATATGCACAGGAACTCCCCGTATAAATGTTCTAAATAAATAAAAAAAAATTTCGATGTATTTTGATCTCCGAAGTCCAAAAAACGGATTTTAAAAATTTGTCCCGATGTGTGTGTGTGTGTGTGTGTACTAACATTTCATTTGCCTCAATATCTCAGAACGGGAAAGAGCTAAAGGCCTCAATTTTTTTAAATTGTAGGTCTCCCCGGGGGACATAAAAAGAGAGTATTTTCAGCCCGATTCATGAAATTTAACTATTTTTTTTTTGCATTTTTCATTTTGTAAAAAAACGTTTTTTGGACATAACTTAAAAAAATGTTAGGACACTTATAAATCTTTTTCTTTAGTTTTGTAGAGTTTTTTCACACGCATCTTTTGAGCCCTAATTAAAAATTTTTCGTCCATATTAACCGGAGATATTAAACTTTTAAAAATCAAAAATTTTGAAAAATAAGACTTTTATAAAATTTTTTTTAAATTATGTAAAAGTAACTTTAAAAAATTATTACCAACTTGAAGAGCATTAAAAAACGCTTCGATTGACCTATTTTTTAACCTGATTTGGGCAGAAATTATGAAATTATTGGTATTTGAAAAATCAAAAATTGTGGAAAATATCATTTTTTTCAACATTCTTGTTTATTAACTTATGTGTAATTATTAAACTATTATTACCATCTTATAGAATATATAAAAACACATTTTTTAGACCAAGATTTAATGATTTTTAACCCTTTTATAAAAAGTAATTCTTATATTTCAATTATTATTATTACTATGAGGAAGCAAAGTGTTCATGAAATAAACACCAAAATTATAAAAATGTACAACTTGGCAGCGGTTTTTTTTAACATATTTCTAACTTTTATAAAAATTATGGAATTTTAAAAATTTTAGGAAAATAAATATTAGAAATAAAAACATTAAAAAATTATTTTTTTGAATCAAACCTTGCTCAAAAATCTTTTTTTTAGAAAAAAAATTCCATTAGGAATACCTTTTTTAGACTCTTAGACAACCTGAACTGAACCGGTATCGAAAATCTCAAAATACACTTTTTGGAGTCCTTTCATCGAACAAACTACGGTTATCACTCTTTTGTAACAACATTAAGTAGAGAGGCTAATTCGATGTCAAATATTGTTGACTTTTTTTGATAGTAACTTTTTAAGATTCACCTCTTCATGGCGTAGGTTTATTTTAGACTTTTGAGTTAAAACTACCTAGCGTTGATTACACAGTTAATATTGTATAATATAAGTTGCGGTTTCAACTTTTAGATTGTAAGAGTACTATGTACGAAAGGGCTTGTCCCGTATACTTGTTAAATAAATAATAAATAAATAAAATATCTATAAAATGTGTATTAAAAATGAAGATATTATTATTAAGAAGAGGGTTGTGGACCTAGGACCTTGCAGGTCAACGCCACTAACGCTTGGGTAATCCCTTTACGTTCCCCATAACCACCCCTATATCCGAAGTCCTTTCCACAACAGGAGGACTTCGGCCAGGTTTCTGGTAGCGATAACGGTCTCCCCCAGAAAGAAGTAGCCCGTAATGTGTTCCCGCTCCTTCACAAGTGCAGGGCAGTGACACAAGATGTGTATCGGGGTTTCATATTCCTCTCCACACCTACGGCACTTCGGGTCATCTAGGATCCCCATTTTGTGCCTATGATAGCGCAGATCACCATGGCCAGTTAATAGCCCCGTTATGATCTTTGCCTCTTTTCTATTTAATTTGCGGAATTCCGCTTTCCTCATAGGGTTAATACTACTTCCCATGAGTACCTTAGCTTGTCTACAGCCCTTAGTTACCTGCCATTCCCTTTGGTGTTCCGCAGCTATCCACTGTTTAATTTCCAGTGTCAAGCATTTGTTGGAAACACCAATGGGAGGTTCAGGTCCAATAAGTTGTTTTCTAGCCCCTTCTTTGGCTAGCTCATCCGCCCTATCGTTTCCCGCGAATCCACTGTGACCAGGGATCCACAGGAGGGTAACGCGGTTCGTTTCAGCTAGTTTGTTAAGTGATTCATGACAATCACCGACCAGCCGTGATGTTGATACGTATCGTTTCAAGGAGAAAATGGCCGCCTTGCTATCCGAAAGGATAAAAATATCTTTGTTGTGACAATTTTTCAAGGCTTCAACAGCACCATAAAATATTGCCACAATTTCGGCTTGTAACACAGTAACAGTGGTCCCTAACTTAAAGGAGTGTCCCACTTGGGAGGTTACATGATAGATTCCTGCACCGACTCCATTCCCGCCTTTTGATCCATCTGTGTACCAGACTTCACCGTCAGCTGAAATACTTGTCAGTCCATTTATCCAATCTTCTCTACTAGGTATATTAATCCTATACTTTTTGTCGAAGAGATACAAAGGGACAGTTCTGTCCCTAATCATACTTAGAAGTGGGATTCTCACCAATTTCTTTGGGAGACGCCATCTGCCCACCTCCCTGCAGCCCACAGGACCACTCAACCGCAGGGCAGCCTTAACCGCCGCTGCTTTAATTGTAAGGTGTAAGGGTTCTAGCCCCAAGAGGGCACCAAGGGCAGCAGTGGGAGTTGTACGCACCGCCCCCGTTATGCCTCTAAGTACCATCCCCCTTACCCTTTCCAATTCTGTTTGTGCTGTTTTTAGCTCAACTCTACCCCACCAGACCACACAAGCATAGGTCAGCCTAGGGAGCAGAATTGCTTCATAGATCCACAATAGTGTATCCGGTTTGAGACCCCAGCTACCACCAATGGCCCTTCTACATTGCCAAAGAGCAGCTGTAAGTTTCTTACATTTTTCCTCTAAATGCTTTTTCCAGAGCAGTTTGCTATCCAGGATTACTCCTAGATATTTTGCCTGCTCTGTGTATTTGATCTCTTTTCCAGACAGCGTAAGTGAGCACGAGGCTTTCCACTTGTACCGTCTGGTAAAGATAACCGCTTCCGTTTTCCCCGGATTTACAGATAAACCCACCTTCTCACACCATTTATCTACCAGGTTTAACGCTTTTTGGGCCACTTCGAGTATAACTTCAAGGTGGGGACCGCGAACGATTAACAAAATGTCATCCGCATAACCAATTACATGGTATCCTGCTTCGGTCAGAATTCTCAGTAGTTCATCCACTACCAAGGACCAGAGCAAGGGTGAAAGAACACCTCCTTGGGGGCATCCAGAGTTGACTGTCCCTTTCAGGACTGAGTCTCCTTTAGTTGATAAGAGGTTCCTGTTTTTTAACATATGACAGGTCCAATCAACCACTCCTGTAGGAATATTAAAAGCTGTCATAGCTCTTTTTATGGATTCCGGAGAGGCCTGACTAAAAGCTCCTTCTATGTCCATAAAAACACCCACAGCAAAGCCCTGATTCTGCAGTTGCCCATCAATTAGGTCTACTGCTCTAGCCAGAGCTGTTTCCTTAGAGCATCCCGCTCTATACGCATATTGATCCTTTTGTAGCGGGAACCGCTCCAAAATCTCACTGCGAATATATCTATCCACCAACCTTTCAACTAATTTTAGGATAAAGGATGTAAGGCTAATAGGACGGAAATCCTTCGGTGAGGTATAACCGTTCTTGCCCGCTTTAGGTATGAATACAACTTTTGTACCCCTCCACGCTACTGGGACATATCCCAGAGTCAGACTCGCCCTAGCAAGTCTTACCAATGGTCCAACAGCCTCATCTATCGCTCTTTGCAAGAGGACAGGGTAGACGCCATCAGGACCCGGAGACTTGTAAGGGCTGAAAGATTCCGTGGCCCATCTGATCCTCTCGGCAGTCACAATCCTGTTAGCCAATTGCCTCCGAGACCGGTAATCAGCCTGCGGAAGGTTTGTTGGCGGCTCAGGATACCTTATTTCCAATGCTTTTGGAGCAGAGAGTGATATCAATCACTTCCTGCCTAATCGCATTGCTAAAAGTCGGGGTCGAACCCGTGTTGAGAATATCTAGATTCGTTTCGATTAGATATTCCAGTAGCTCCTGTCCTCTCTGGTTGTCCTTTGAGCTCCCCCACACCGTATGTTGTGAGTTTGCATCGCAGCCCAGCAGCAGAGGAAGTCCCTTTTCCATACAGTAGTCCACCAACCTACGAACTTCAATTGGCGGATTATTTTTATTATCATATGGAAAATATGCCGATCCTACGACCGTCTTACCTATACCCTCCAGGTTAGTTACCACCACCATTAGGTCCCCTGAACACAGATCCAATAGTGGAGTTGCGTTAACACCCTTAGTAAGAATGCACGCTCTGGGTTTGGCAGCTCTGCAGTCCCTGTAACAAACTAGACCAACCCCACCAAGCCCCCTAATGACACCTCTTACTAACCATGGTTCTTGGATTATTGAGATGCCTGTGTGCAACTTAGCCATGCTCCTCGTCAGTACTGATGAGGCGCCTTTGCTATGATGCAAGTTAATCTGAATAGCGGAGAGTTTGAAAACAGTGAATTATGTTTGCTCTTCTCCCTCCTCTACATTGCTTGTGCCGTCACGATCAGGGACAGTTACCTTAAAGGTTATCCGCCCGAAGTGATAGTGAGGCTTAAATTCGAGGGCCTCTATAGCCCTCGCCTGACTTTCAGGGACTTGAGCGACAAGAAGAAAACTCTTGTCCCCCCTGTTCGCCACCTGAGACCCATCAACATTCAGCAAACGCCAAGTCGATGTCTTCAACGTGGGGTTGAAAGCCTCCAAATGTCGCAAGACCGTCCGCGCGTCCGCCGTTTCTCCCGGGAACCACGCAGTAGCCTTTACCATTCTTTGGAGCATCTCAACCCCACCAATTTTCAACCTCGCTCCCTTCCAGGGCTCATGGTCGGCCACACATTTTGTCAGCCATTCCACAGCCTCCGGGTTGGAAGCGATGAAGATAAAGACTCCTCCTCTGCAGAAGGAAGTCTCAAAACGCGGCCACCTTTCGACCGGCTCCTCACAGGTGAGCGTCACAACGGTCTTCCTAAGAAGTCCAAACTGCTCATCAGTGAGCGCCACATCTGGGTAGCCCTCGCTATAGACCACCATCGTTAGAGGATTTGTCCTTTGTGCCATTGTTAGCCCAACATTGTACCCCTCTCTCCTGGTACTCTGTTGGACCGACTTTGGCCTGTTTACACCCTCTTTTTTTTCCAGAGGTGATGCATCCTGGCCACTCTTTCTCTTCGACCCAGTAGCAACACCCGAGAAAACCGAGTTGTTTACACCGGCTGCTAGCCGTTCTTTCCTTAACCGTTTCTTTTCAGAACCGGTAAGGCGCTTTCTTCTGATTGGGGCCATTTGCACAGCCTCCGAATCTCCTCCCCCACCTAAGACCACATTACCATCAGATCCCGAAGAACCCGAAGGAGCAGCCAAAGAAGAGGGGGGAGACTGACCCACGACTTCAGGATTCGAGACCGTCACATCCACAACTTCCAAGGAGGTTGTAGACGCAGCCAACGAGACCCCTTTATCACCCAAATTTAAATTGTTGAATTGATTCTCCATTTGAAGACCCACGAGTAGCAAGTGAAAAGAAAGTCCACTCCTGCAGAGCCCCGCTTGCAGGAGTAAGGCTAATACTACCGGAAGGTCGCCCGGTGTTCCGGAGCCGCCGTTTAAGACACCTCCGTTCACATCACGCCAAGACCAGCCGCCCGCCCGCCTGCCGGAACCCCAGCCGGATCGCTCCCCCGAGCTTTACGGGATCACTCACCGACCAGTACAATCCCGAGAGACATAGTAATAATATTTAATTCGATTAAAATGAGTTATTAGGTAACAATAATTTATAAATTTATCTAATTTAATGTATAGTTGAAGAAAATTGTTAAGCAAGTTAAGAATAAAAATTAATTGAAACAAAAAATAAACTAGTAAACCTGAAAATTAAAATTATAAGATAATCATAAGATTTTTAATAAAATATGTAGTATTAAGAGCATTTAAACTATTATGACGTCACAGCTTTAGAACAAATGCTTTGCACAAACTCTGACGTCATAATGGTTCAAATGCCTTTAAATGAAAATCATTATTAATTAATTTTTACTACGTTCAATTATATACCTAATTATATAAATTATTCAAATCAGTTATATAATAATTATTATAATTATAAAATTATAAAACTTAATTCCTTCAAGAATATTAAGTTTTATAAAACTTAATTTTCTTGAAGGAGACAACATTTCCAGAAACTATTGCAGAGAGCCGACGAATTGATCAAAAGTCTTGTTTCTTTTTGAACAATTATTAATAACATTATAATTTTAAATTTATTTTAATTATAAATTGTAATTATGCACTCTAAATCTGAATTAGTAAGTTCCTACTATTTAAAGAGAGCGAATTTGTTTACTAATTGAATAAGTAACAGTTTTGACAATTTTTTATTAGTTAACTTCTAATTTTTTGTACTAAACTACTAATTTTTAGTAGTAAACTACTAATTACTAGTAGAAAACTACTAATTAATTATTAAGTCGTTTTTTTAACTATTTAAAATTAGTAAACCGACTTACTAAATGAATTAGTAATTTACTACTAAAAATTAGTCAAAACTGTTATCAATATTCACGCACAGTAAAAAGTAAATCTTAATTTAAGGTCTATTTTAAATTCAGCACTGACTGCTACAATGTTAAGTCATACAAAATCCATCACGTAAATTCAGCATTGACTGTCTTAAAAATGTTGCATCTTAATTTAAAACTGTCTTGCTGCCTTAAAATAAGACTTTCCTTTTACAGTGCAGCTAGTAAACGTATCCGCACTCTTTCATTAGTAGAAAACAATTAATTCAGAGAGTATTTGTTAATTGTTCACATTGAAAAAAAATTAAAGAATTTAACAATTATTATAATTTATGACAAAAAAACCGAAGTCTTTAAAAAAACAAATAAATAACTTTATTTATTACAATTATTATTAATTTATTATTATTTACTGTAATAAATAAATAAAAACATTCAGTTGAAATTGATTCAAACACCAAAAAATAAAGTCAGCAATATTGTTAAACTTCTGAATTAAAAAAAAAAAATTTTTAAATAGGGGAATGTAGTCAAGGTTGGCCTACTGTCTAGGTAGGCCACTCGCGTTTTTTTGTCAAGTTCACTAGCGCCACCTACGCGCATTTTTGTCGAAGCTTGTCTTAGTGAAACCTAACTTTTTGTTCAATTACATTTTCGGAAAATCGAAAATTGTGTTTTCTGTGACGTCGGTACAAAAAAAGCTCAAAAAAAGTTTTGTGCATAATGTGAAAAACCATTAATAAAAGATAAAAAACAAATTGAATCGTCAAGGCAAGTATGCAGAAAATTTGTGGGACTCATGGTTGAAAGGAAAACAAAGTAAAAAATCGAATCCCGAAACGTATTTCTTTATGGTTACAACAATTCGGTAATGTTACTTACTGTCAAGGTCGGCCACTATGTGTTTAAAATGCGCAAAGATGAGGACGAGCTACTTCATTTGCAAAAACTGCAATTCTGTATAACTCATAATATAATTGATCATCTTATTAATATTTTTATTTAATTTTATTAATATTTTAGTGCAAAACTTTTTTTTATTTATATTTATTTTTTTATATTGTTTATTGTTATTATTTTGTTATTTCATTAAGTTACAAACTGTAAACAATAAAGAATCAATTTTCCGTAACTCCAAACATGTTATTTTATTTTTTAACGATTAATGCCCTTTGAATTTTAAACATGGCCGACCTTGACTGTAATGGCCAACCTGGACTACAAATTTTTTTTTTTTTAAATCTTTATAACTTTTTCATTTTTAAACCTGTCAATTTACTTTGTACAGAAAAAATGTTCCTATTAAACAGAACTTTCCAACCATATACTTCAATTGTCCAAATTCATTTTTAAAAAAAAGTTATAAACAAAAGTCAAAAAGGTGGCCGACCTAGACTATGTTCCCCTACTAAAACATTCTTGCTGACAGATGTCAACTTCTTCTAATCTAAAGGTCATCTATAAATAGATTTTTAACTAATCAGGTATTTTTTCCGCAACAATTTTTTTTCTTCGCGATAAGAATGAACTACACATAAGATATGAATCCACATATAAAAAATTGCAACACTAAGGAATATTAAATTCTGTTCTTTTTTTTACAATACAATCAAAAATGTCTTAAAGTTTACCAGTTCACTTGAATTTCATCATCTTTGAAGAATATATTTAAATATTATATAAATATCGGTTGAAACAATTTTAATTTATTTTAAGCGGTAAAAAATTAACACCAATATTTTTTACTACTTTTTCGAAGATAAGACAAATGCAATTAAACTACTATAATGATTAACTGTTCATTGTCAGGAAAAATTTTATTCACCTATGCAGGTGCTACTTTTAATATGTATTTGTGAGTGTATGTGTTTGTCGAATAATCTAAGAGCCCCTGATGTCAGAAAAGTGCGGGCTTGAACTTCGAAGATAATGTGAAATGATAAAAGCGACGCGATAACGATAAGGATAAGAATGACTCTATACATATATATGTACATTCAAATGGTGTGTTACTACCAGTCAGTTACGAACACGATTGTAAAAACACATAAGCAACCTCTTTATTTGTTTTTACTATTCTGTATCTTACATGGGGGCTTTTCTGCACAAAGCGAATAAAAAGTTTTCTGCTTTCGTTTATTATAGGTAAAAAAAATAAAGATATACACTCATTAACAATGCTGTTTACTGTTTATTGTTGGTTGGTAAAATGATTTCACTTTTTGCCAAGAATGCAATAAATTTCCTTTCAAATTATGCAGTTTAAACTGCTTACTTTATTACTGTATATTCCAATAACTTGATCGTAATAAGATATAATTTGATTATAATAATATAAGATTTTAATTATTTTATACGTTCGACATAATTATTATTTTAATAAAAAACATTGAAACAAGCGAAAAAAAATTAAGTCATACTCGATGATTTTTTTTTCACAGTATTTTTTTCCTTAAAATAGGTGAAAAGGTGACAACAAAATTATAATTATAAAGACAAATAACTAATTTTAATAATTAAATACTATTTTTGTTCTTGTTTATTTTTAAACGTTTTTATAAAATTTTTTGACAACAATTTAAATGCTTTGAAATAATTACATTAATTTTACAAATTTTTATAAAATTTTTACTAAAAAAAAAATTTTACTAAAACTTTTTATAAGAATTAAATTATTTTTATCACAATTGTAACTAAATTTCTAGAAAAAATTTAATTTTTTTTCGAAGCAATTCAATTATATATTTTTAAAAATTTTTCAACAAAATTGAATTATTTTCAATAATAATAAAATTCTTCAAAATAATTCCATTATAGTTTTACAAATAATACAATCTTTAAAAGAATTTAATTTTTGTC